ATAAAGTCTATAGTGTATATTTGGTTTCATTCTATGTATTGAACATCTTATGGATTTTGATTTTTTCTTTCTGATACTGGGGATTGAGCCTGGGGGCACTCTGCCACTGAGCTACATCCATAGTCTTTTAATTTTTGTTTGTTTGTTTTGAGATAGGGTCTCTCTAAGTTGCTGAGGCTGGACAGGTATGGTGGTGCACAACTGTAATTTCAGTGACTTGGGTAGCTGAGGCAAGAGGATTGCAGATTTGAGGTCAGCCTCGGGAATTTGGTGAGAACCTGTCTCAAAATAGAAGGGACTGGGGATGGAGTTCAGTAGTGGAATGCCCCTGGGTTCAATCCCCTGTACCAAAAAAAAAAAAAAGTTGTTGAGGCTGGCTTTGAATTTGCAATCCTCCTGTCTCTGCCTCCCAAGTAGCTGGGACTATGGGTGTGTGCCACCACACCTATCACTGACCAAAGTTTGATGACATTTATCTAACATATAGTATCATGCAGAATAGTTTTATTGCCCTAATAATCCCTCATGATCCACTAGTTTCTCCCTTCCTCCATCCTCTGTAAATCAGATATTTTACTGTCCCTATAGTTTTGCCTTTTCTAGAAGGTCATGTATTTGGAATCACATCACAATAGCCTTTCAGATTTCTGAAATATGTATTTAAGATCTCTCCACATCATCATGGATTGATATTTTTTAATTTGAATTTGTGTGTGTGTGTGTGTGCTAGAGATTGAACTCAGAGGTACTTGACCACTGAGCCACATCCCCAGCCCTATTTTGTATTTTATTTAGAGACAGGGTCTCACTGAGTTGCTTAGTGCTTCACTGTTGCTGAGGCTGGCTTTGAACTCATGATTCTCCTATCTCAGCCTCCCAAGCCACTAGGATTACAGGCATGTGCCACCTTGCGGGCTGATTTGTTTGTAATGCTCAGTGATATTCCTTTCTCAAGATGTACCACACTTTATGTATTCATTTACCTACTGAAGGATACCTTGGTTGTTTCCAAATTTGGGCAGTTATGAAAAAAGCTGCTATAAACAAACAAACAAAAGAATACACATAACAAATTCAGGTGAGGATGTTGGGGGAAAGGTACACTCATATATTATTGGTGGGACTGCACATTAGTACAACTACTCTGGAAAGCAGTGTGGAGATTCTTCAAAAGACTAGAAATAGAACCATCATATGACCCAGATATCCCACTCCTTGGTATTTATCTAAAATAACTAAAATCAGCATGCTATGGGGATAAAAGGCACATCAATGTTTATAGAAGCACAATTCACCAAAGCCAAATTATGGAACCAGCCCAGTTGTCTGCCAACAGATGAATGGATAAAGAAAATGTAGTATATATGCATAATGAAGTTTTACTCAGCCTTAAAGAAGAACAAATTTGGGCTGGGGTTGTGGCTCAGTGGTAGAGTGCTCACCTAGGACATGAGAGGCCCTGGGATCAATCCTCAGCCCCACATAAAAACAATAAACAAAATAAAGGTATTGTGTCCAACGACAACTAAAAAATAAATATTAAAAAAAGAAGAATGAATATGTGGCACTTACTGGTAAAAGGACGGAACTGGAGAACATCATGCTAAGTGAAATAAACCAGATTCAGAAAGTCAAGGGTGAAATGTTCTCTCTCATATGCAAAAGCTAGAACAACATAAAGGACAAAAGAGAGGGAGGCAGATTTCATGAAAATAGAAGGGAGATCAGTGAAATAGAGGAAAGGGATGGAGGGGCAGGACAGAGGGACAGGAAAAGGGAGAAAATGAGGAATAAAATGGACAAAATTATGCTATACACATACACACATATCACAATGAATTCCACCTTGATGTATATCTATAAAGCACCAATTTGGAAAAAAAAGAAGGAAGTCCTGTAGAATAAATGAAGGGGAATAGGGAGAGGAAGGGGGTGGGGAGAATCAGTACAGATTGAAATGGAGCAAATTACATTTCATGCATGTATGATTCTGTCAAAATGAACCTTACTACTATGTATAACTATGATGCACTTTTTAAAGAAGTAAGTGATTCAGGTTTTGAGCATGATAATTCATGGTGATGCATGCCTGTAATCCTAGCAACTCAGGAGTCCAAAACAGGTGGATTGCAAGTTTGAAGCCAGCCTCAGCAATTTAGCAAGGCCCTAAACACATTATCAAGACCCTGTCTCAAAATATAAAATAAAAATGACTGGGGATGTAGCTCAATGGTAAAGCACCCCTGGGTTCAATCCCTAGTACAAAAAAAAAATGTGATCAATAAATTTTAGTCTTGGAAGCTCTTAAACAATTATTGTTATAATCATAAAGTATCTACTAATTCAAATGGATACCGATCAGAAAAGTGTCCCTAATCACTTCTTCAACCCCCATTTTCACAACCCCAAAACCTGTCTCAGTTCTTGTGGGTATCAACCATGTACCTTCCCAGTCAGCCGCAGGGTCTCATATTACAAAGAGGAATAGTGTATTGAAACTGAAGGCTCCCATGCCCCATAAGATACAATGATTTGATTCCTGAAAAGAATGACAGGTCTGTGTTTAGTGTAAATGATTCTTTGTCTGGGCTGTGCTGGTATTCGATAGGACCCACCCTCTGCAAGCCTGGAAGCACTGGGCATGGTGGCTTACCTGTAATCCCAGTGGCTGGGGAGGCTGAGGCAGGAGGATCATGAGTTCAAAGCCAGACTCAACAACTTAGTGAGGCCCTAAGCAATTTGGTGAGGCCCTGTCTCTAGGTAAAATAGAAAAAAAGGCCAGGGATGTGGCTCAGTGGTTAAGTGTCCCTGGGTTCAATCTCTAGTACAAAAAAAAAAAAAGAAAGAAAGAAAAAAAAAGAAAGGAAGGAAGCATGTGCCATGGGGCAGATAAACCACTGTTGGAAAACTTTAAAATGCTTAACTGATACAAGAGTGCACAGCCCGGTATCACAGAAGTTAGGCTGTAGACTTTCTTCCTTCTTAAGGGGTCTCTATATGTTACCAAAGCTGACCTTGAACTCCTGGACTCTTGGACATCCTCTTTTCTCAGCCTTCTGGCTAGCTGGGATTATAGACACACCCCACAGTGCCCAGCTAGACAGTAGTTTTTACATTGAAAGCTTTCTTATTAGAAAATTTCCATTCCAAATCACATAATTTCTCTGACTCAATTTAGTTCAATTGTGAATGTGTGAGGCCTGGATTTGATTGCCAGTACTGCAACAACAACAACAACAAAAATCCAAGTCATTTAAAAACAGTATAAAATGGTGCTGCAACACAATTCACAATAGCCAGATTATGGAATCAACCCAGATGGCTGTCAACAGATGAATAGATAAGAAAATGTGGTATATTTACAAACTAGAGTTTTACTCGGCCATAAAGAAGAATGAAATAATGTCATCTTCTGATAAATGGATGGAACCAGAGAACATCATACTGAGTGAAATAAGCCAGACTCAGAAAATCAAGGGTCAAATGTTTTCTCTCATAAGTGGAAGTAAGAGCAAAATAAGAGAAAGAAGGTAGTTGGGGAGGGGATCAGATATCATAAGACATAAGGAAGATCAGTGGAGTAGGAGGAGAAGGAGAGGGAGGGAGGAAGGGAAAGGGGAAGAAATATGGAATGAATTCAACAAAATCATGTGATACACATTTGTAAATATACCAAAGGTAATTTCATCTTTATATATACATAGAAAAAACATATAAGGGGCTGGGGCTGTAGCTCAGTGGCAGCATGTGTGAGGTACTTGCCTAGCATGTGTGAGGCACTGGGTTTGATCCTCAGCACCACATAAATAAATAAATTAATTAATTAAATAAAGACTTGCTGTCCATCTACAACTATATTTAAAAAATAAAGAAAAGAATGGAGTTTTGTGAAAGTGAAAAACAAACAAAAAATGTTTATCTTATTCTTTGCCTTCTGGTATGCAATTATAAATTTGTAGGAGAAAAGAAGTACCAATCATAAATAAATAAAGGAGTGAAAGGAAGATCATCAGAGTAGAGGAGGGAGAATAGGAGGAGAGAGAAGGGGAGGGAAAATGGGGGGAATTTGGATTGAAATGAAGTTTAAAAAATAGTGCTACAAAAGTGTACAGACTAGTATCACAAAAGTTAGGGTCTTGATAAGCAAAAAGAGACCACATACTTGGGAGGCTGAGGCAGGAGGCTTGCAGTCTGAGGTCAGCCTGGGAAATTTAGTGAGACTCTGTCTCAAAATTAAAAATAAATAAATATCAGTGGTAGAGCACCCATAGATTCCATCCCCAGTAGCATGCAAAAAATTATAAAATGAATATAAATACTGATCATTAACCCTATTGCTTTGCTAGTAAATGAAAGACTGGTTCAATGGGCTGGATAACTAGTGGGTTCCAGTTTCCTTTAGTTGGAGCACATTGGTGGAGATGTGTGACTGGGGAATTAAATATGCAGTTTTTCTTTGGGCTGCTAACTTGATTGGAGAGCATCAGGCTCAAGTCATTAACATAGAATTTGTGCTTTCTAAATTAACTAGAAAATATGGGTATAAACATCATAGCTCACTCCTAATTGCAATAAACCCTCCTTATTTTGCTTGGGATTTCAAAAAAGAAAATAAATCATATTTTTTGATGTGTGTGTATATATATATATATATATATATATATATATATATATATATATGTATATATGCATAAAGTACATACATTCATATACATGTCTATATAATTATACAGAGAAAGCACACGAAACACATGCAGAATTGTGTGTTGTTCACATGGTTACTCAGTGAAACATATCCTGTGTTCCGTGGACCTTCTCTTCAGGTATTTCAAGTTCGAATCTGAGAAAGGACTTGATCTCCTACGCGCCTTAGATTTGCTGAACCTCTGTCGGAACTGAACAAATGCGCGGACCCAGTTTCCAGACCGGCTTATTTATACTGGTACCTGCCCCTTCCGGTTGGGAGGAGCCCTTAGGTCTGGGGAAGGTATTTGCTGACGTACCCGGAACTGTTTCCAAGGTTTCTTCAGGTTTGGGAGGTTGCTCGGCGGCGAGTTGTGGGAGCCAAGGCAACCGGGAATCTTCCCGGGGTCACAAGAGCGCCCCCTTGGCCCTCAGCTTCGGGGGCACAGCTGCGGTAATGGCTCCAGTGTCCAGTTCGCGCAGCCCTGAGCGGGAGGCCTCTGGCTCCGGAGGAAGACGCCGCAGTTCGTCGAAGAGCCCCAAACCCAGCAAATCTTCCCGCTCCCCGCGGTGTCGCCGGTCTCGCTCGCGTTCTTGTTCTCGGTCTGGTGACAAGAATGGCCTAAGTCATCAGCTGGGTGGTCTCAGCCAAGGTTCCCGAAACCAGTCGTACCGCTCGCGCTCGCGTTCGCGCTCTCGAGAGCGGCCCTCTGCGCCACGGAACACCCCTTTTGCTTCTGCCTCCTCGTCCACGTATTATGGAAGCTACTCACGCCCCTACGGGAGCGACAAGCCGTGGCCTAGCCTTCTGGACAAGGAGAGGGAAGAGAGCCTGCGGCAGAAGTGAGTGAGCTCGCCGCATCTTTTCTTGTATGAGCCCCCTCACCTTTCGAGTCCGATTTATCGTTCATTGTGTTTCTGACTATTCGCATTTCGTTCTACCTGTCTTGCACCCATTTTCGTCCCTTTCTTCATTCCACTCACGGCAACCTTGTATTCTGCCTTTATTTCCCATATATTTTCACTTGTCGGCGGGTCCCTTTATACAGCGCCCTATTTTATCGCTGTCCCCTTACCCGCTCCTGGCTTGTTAGCAGACGTCTCCAAGAGCCTCAGATCTACCGGAATTATAGCATTTACTTGGCTGTGTCATTATCAGTCGTGAGCATGATTTTATTTCTCACAAACTGAATTCATGGAAAGAAGGATCACTATTCTGTTGGTTCCAGAATTCGACATGCAATCAATCATTGCTTGAGTGGAGAAACAGACAAGTTTGAGATAACGGAATATATCAATGGAAATGTTTTGTACGGAATTGGAAAGAGTTGAAATTAAGGATTTATATTGCACAAGATAATTACATGAATGTGGGGGAGGGAAGTGATCTGCTTAGCTGTAGATGTAGTTACCTTAAGAAAGATCTGGGTAAGTGGTCTCAATCTTGTTGGTGAAAAATGATGTCAAGGTGAGATTGGGTCTCCTCTAATAAGAATGAATATTGGAGTGGGAAAGTGCCTGGTTTAAGGAAGAGGAAGAGGCTTAGAATCATTGCTGTGTGACTCACAATATCTAATATTTATTAAACATTACGTGTTGGGCATTGTACTAAGCCATGCACTATGTGTTTAAGAAACGAGACGTTTGAAAGTATTACAGGCATTGAGGGGCAAGTTAAAGTTCCAACAGTTGGGAGATGGCTTCATGATTCTTTTTCTTCCAGCAGTGGGAACTAATAAAGTATAGTGATGAGAAGGACAGGCTCCAGAATCAGACTGCTTGAAACCTTTGTTATCCACCTAATAGCTGTGCAGCCTTGTGAAAGTTAATTTAACCTCTGTGAACGTCATTTCTTCACCATTATAAAGATGCTGAGGCTGGGATATAGCTCAATGGTAGAGTGTTCACTGAACATACTTGAGGCCCTGGGTTCCATCCTGAGTATTGGAAAAAAAAAAAAGCAGGGTGAGGGTATGGGGGTAGATAAAATTAGTACCATGTCTTTTAAGGTTGTAATAATTTAGTGCCTGGAACATAATAAATATCCCATAACTGTTAGCTATTAGTGCCTCATGCATGGAAGCAGAAAATAAAAACAGTCCTGAATTAGGTTAAAAGACCTACCCAAGTTAAATTGTTCAGAAAAGTATCCATAGAATATATCACTCAAAAAGCAAATGGCTTCTTTTTTTTTAAATTTTTATTTATTTATTTATTTTTAGTCATACATGACAGTAGAATGCATTTTGACATATAATACATACATGGAATGTATATATATCAGCAAATGGCTTCTTGCTGGTGAATCCTCACCAAAAAATGTCAGAACTGCTTAAGTGATTTTTTTTTTAATTTTAGTTATAGATGAGCAAAATACATCTATTTATTTATTTTTGTGTGGTGCTGAGGATAAAACCCAGTGCCTCACATGTGCTAGGCAAGCACTGTACCACCAAGGTACAACCCCAGCCCCATGCTTAAGTGAAATTTGCATTTGTACATTTAGAAGATAAATAATTTGTCTTAACAGTGCAGATGAAGCCAGATGGCAACAGGTATAAGAACAGGACTTTATGTTCTTCAGAGTCTTACAGCATTCTTTCCCCTATATTTGTGTATTCTAAATACAGTTACAAGTATGGCCCCTTTGGGGCTGTTTCTTCAAAGTGGCAAACCCTTTGAGACTGACTATAGCTATATCTTTTCCCCTGAATAAAGAAGTAAAAAATTCAAACCAATTATGTTTATTTTGAAGGATTATTAAAAACAAATGGAATCTAAAACAGCTAAACTTTGAGGAACTGAGCCTTAGGGTTTTTTTTTTTTTCAGTTTATGAAAAAGCAAAAATTAAAACAGAATAAATCACAAACATCATAAAACAAAATAATTAAACAATTTTAGTGTCCTCCAAAGAACAGAGAATGTACTCCTTTTCCAAAAAGGAGCTAAAGGGAAAACTGAGGGAACAAACCTGACATCTCATTGAGTATAATATTTGCCAAATAATTTTTTCTTTTATTTTCAGAACTCCCTTTATTTTCTATTTCTAATTCTTCATTTTTATTTTCTTGATTCTTAGCTTCCTGAAAACTGAAGGTTTGACTAAATCAAAAGAGACTTCTTTTTTAATCATGCATGAACAAAGTTATTTCAAAATGTAAAACATTCTGTCACATATTACAATGAAGTGATCAATTAGAAGCTGTGCCATGCACTTGGCATAGGGATGCCCTGGACAGTCTCCCAAGCTATTGTTTCTTATCCAGGCACTGAGGCTATCTGTAGTTTGTACCATTTGATAGTATTACGAGAACATCAACTCCTATGTGATTAATTTCCACTTAAACCAGGTTTTTATTAACTTTTAAAACATAAGGAAAGTCAGGTGTGATGGCAGGCTCCTATAGTCTCAGAAGCCTATGAGGCTGAGGTAGAAGGATCACTCGACCCTAGTAGTTTGAGGCTAATCTGAGCAAAATAGGGAGACCCTGGCTCTAAAAAGAAAAAGTATAATAAAACATTGGGAAAATAGGATTTAACTGGACTCTTGTTGAATTTGATTGTACATTTAGGAAATAATCCATCCATAAGTTATAATTTAAATGTTTATATCCTCTAGGAGATTAAGTGAGAGAGAGAGGATTGGAGAATTAGGAGCTCCTGAAGTATGGGGACTTTCTCCAAAGAATCCTGAACCTGAGTAAGTGATTTAAAAATATGTTATAACATTAATTTAAATCCTGTTCTATTGTGAACTTTTTTTTTTTAAATACCAGAGATTGAACCCAGGGGCGCTTAACCACTGAGCCATGTCCCCAGCCCTTTTTTATATTTTATTCAGAGATAGGGTCTTGCTGAGTTGCTTAGGACCTTGCTAAATTGCTGAGGCTGACCTTGAATTCATGATCCTCCCAACTCAGCCTCAGGGTGCTGGGATTACAGGTGTGCACCACTACGCCCAGCTCTGTGAACATTATGGTTAAGCAAAGAACTTTACATCTCAGGTTTTTTTTTTATTTTCTTGTGATTTGTGCTATTCTACTCCTACGTCTTAAAAATGTATAACAAGCTTGGTACTGTGGCATATGCCTTAATCCCAGTGACTCAGGAGGCTGAGACAGGGGGATTGCAACTTTGAGGCTAGCCTCAGCAATTTAGCCAGGCCCTAAGCAACTTAGTGAGACCCTGTCTCAAAATTTAAAGAAAGGTGGGGGTTGGGGATATAGCTCAATGGTAAAGTGCCTCTGGATTAAATTCCTAGTACCAAACAATAAACAAATAAAATAAAAACAGAACATATCTAAGGATTAAACATGTTGCTAGTGGACTTTAGCATGCTAATTGTTCTGTTTAAATTGTAATCCATGCATCTAATTTCCTATTTATAGAAAGGTTCATTTTTTTAAAAAAAAAATTTATTAGTTATTGATGGAATTTATGAATTTATTTATTTATATGTGGTGCTGAGAATCGAACCCAGTACCTCACACATGCTAGGCAAGCACTCTACCACTGAGCCACAACCCCAGCCCCTAGAAAGGTTCAATGTTAATATACATTATTTTGAATTATTGTTCTCCACTAACCCAGTTTCAGATTGCATGGCAGTTTATAGCATTACAAAGAAATTTCTTTAAAAATGAACATCAAAAAAGAAAGAAAATAAATAAAAAAATGAAAATGAATATACTGGGCTGGGTTGTGGCTCAGTGGTAGAGTGCTTGCCTAGCACACTTGAGGCACTGGGTTTGATCCTCAGCACCACATAAAAATGAAATAAAGATATTGTGTCCACCTACAACTAAAAAAATAAATATTAAAAAATGAGGGCTGGGTTGTGGCTCAGTGGTAGAGCGCCTGCCTTGCATGTACAAGACACTGGGTTCGATCCTTGGCACCACATAAAAATAAATAAATAAAATAATGGTATTGTGTCCATCTGCAACTAAAACAAACAAATTTAAAAAATGAATATATTAGTATGGATTTGTTCAGCTGATTTTCCTATATCCAATACTATCTGAAGGTATGATGCTTTTTCCCCTTATTTTGTTTCTTTTGGTACTACTCGTAAGTTTTTTCTTCCCTCTTCTGTATTTCTTTGTCTACTTTAATTTGAATTGAGACAATTAAAATTGCCTGACAGGTAAACCTATAATTTGTGGCAGGATGAAAAGCATTATTATCTGAAACTTGAGGGCTAGATGGGGTACTAGGGATTGAACCCAGAGCACTCTACCACTGAGCTACATCCTCAGCCCTTTTTATTTTTTATTTTGAGTCAGGGTCTTGCTAAGTTGCTGAGGCTGGCCTCAAAATTGTGATCCTCCTGTCTCAGCCTCCCTAGTACCTGGAATTGCATTTGTGCACCTCCACACATAGCTTGAAACTTGTTCTTATAGATACCTTTGGAGAAAGCTTAAAGAACCTGAACTCAGAGAATTAGAGTTGGAAAAAACTCTAGAAATAATTTTCTAGACAATTCCTAAATTATTCCAGGTTTTATTTTCAGAGGAAAAGATTATATGATGTGGAAACTCTTCTTCTGAACTATTATAAGATTTTATTAATTCTCACTTTCAGAATTCTCTGCAAATGAATGAAATCTCTTTAAACTAGTTTATTAGGTTCTTCCTGCTGTGGGGAGACAGAACAGTTGTTGCTTTATCATATATCCTTTGCACACTTTGAATAAAATCCTGGGGCAGGGAAGGTAGCTTAGTGGTAGAGTGTTTGCCTAGCATGCTTGAGGCCCTGGATTCTATCCTTAGCTTTCCAAAAGACAAAAAAGGTAAGAATAAAATCCTAAAGTCTCCAGGCACAGTGGCACATGCTCAGGAGGCTGAGGCAGGATCATAAGTTCAAAGCCAGCCCCAACAAAAGCGAGGCCCTAAGCAACTCAGTGAGACCCTGTCTCTAAATAAAATTCAAAACAGGGCTGGAGATCTGGCTCAGTGGTTGAGTGCCCCTGAGTTCAATCCCCAGTACCCATCACCCCCTCCCTGCCCCCACCCCCCCAAAAAACAATCCTGAAGTCTTTCCATAGCCTATCTCCAGTTTCTTTCATCTTTCCTTATGGTTTCTGTTCCTTTTTCCCTGTGGTTTCTTCTGAAATTGTAGATTTTTCTGTGTTTTGTTTGAATAACACTTTATAAACTCTGTAGAATGATGGAAATGCAAGAATTTTTTTTATTATGAAGGTAGTAGACCCTTGAAATATGCTCTTACAAAAATGGTCCTGTGCTTACTTTTATGGTTCTTAGGCAATCAGTGTTGTTACTGAAAATTTTAAGGCTCTGTTTAATACTGCTATGGTCCATATTTCATCACTTTTCTAATTCTTACAACCATTTTCTTTAAATTAGCTCTGATGAACATACACCAGTAGAGGATGAAGAGCCAAAGAAAAGCACTACTTCAGCATCTAGTTCAGAAGGTATTTTTTAAATATAGAACTTTTTAATTGATTTTATTTTTTTAATATTTATTTTTTATTTGTACACAATACATTTATTTTGTTTATTTACTTTTATGTGGTGCTGAGGATCGAACCCAGGGCCTCGCACATGCTAGGCGAGTGCTCTACCACTGAGCCACAACCCCAGTCCCTTTAATTGATTTTAAAAAGTAAGTTTAGGGGGGCTGGGGTTGTGGCTCAGTGGTAGAACACTTGCCTAGCACGGGTGAGGCACTGGGTTCCATTCTCAGCACCACATATAAATAAATGAATAAAATAAAGGTCCATCAACACTAAAAAATATTTTTAAAAAGTAAGTTTATAAGTAGTTGAACATTGGACTTTGCTTTTATTCAGATTGCCAATCATCTATTCCTTTTCAGTATTTCAAAAACAATAAAATTGATGTTTAGAAATACTTCTTAGGAAATTAGTTTTTTTTAATTTGTGTTTCCTACAGATGAAAAGAAGAAAAAAAAGAAGTCTAGTCATTCAAAAGAAAAGTCTAAGAAAAAGAGAAAGAAAAAATCATCTAAAAGGAAACACAAGAAATATTCTGAAGATAGTGACAGTGAGTCTGATTCTGAAACAGACTCCAGTGGTAAGCAAACCAACATCATTCTGCAAGCCTTTCTTCAAAAGTAGTTCTTTTTTTTCTTAAAATTTATTTAGAAGGACGTTGTTAAATAATAATAGCCAAAAGTTTCTGAATGCTCCTTGATTTTATGTAGGCAGCCTGCTGTGTGCTTTATATTCATTACTGCTATTTAGTCCACACAATAGCATCTAATAGATGAGGAAATGGAGGCACAGAGCAGGTAATAAGTACCACACCCAAGGTCACATTTGGGATTCAAATGTAAACTAACTGACTACAAATTGATTGTGCATAGTTGTACATAGCACAGGGAACCCAAACCAACTTGGGGTTAGGCTGCAAGATGTGTGGTGCCAAAGGAAACCATACAGGGCTCCATCAGGGGAGAGCTCTTTTTGTGTAATTAGCATGCCCAGTGGGCTCCACCTCTGTATAATTTTTTTAAAAGGCATGCTATAAAGTACTCCCTTCAGGTTGGCTGCAAGGTACCCCATCTGGGGTGGTACTTCACAATAAGCCACCAAAAAGGTGGCTTTAAAAAAAGTTTACTGTTTATCCGATTTATTTTATTTTTTTGGTGGTGCTGGGGATCAAACTCAGGGCCTTGCAAATATTAGACAAGCACTCCATCAACTAACCGAATTTATTTTTAAATGTGTTCCAATTTGAGCTGGTTTTGTGGCTCAGTGGTTAGAGTGCTTGCCTGGCACATGTGAGGCACTGGGTTTGATCCTCAGCACCACATGAAAATAAATAAATAAAGGTATTTTGTTTATCTACAAATAAAAATATTTTTTAAAATGTGTTAAAATTCAACAGTGTGATATTATCTTATTTTTCTAATTATATTCTTACCTTTTTGTTTTCCTAATTTTCTGTAAATTTGTATAAAAGCCACATTTTTATACCCTCTCCTGGCTGATATATGACCAGAAGTTGCCTCCTTTGGGGTTGACACATTATATACAAGTGTTCCCATTGTCATTTTTCTTCCTTACTGCTGGAAGAGTGAATTCTCTTAAAGTGCAAATCTAGGGCTGGGGTAGAGCTCAGTGGTAGAACCCTTGCCTAATATGTGCAAGGCCTTGGGTTCTATCCCCAGCATCACAAAAATAAAACCAAAAAAAAAAAGCATAAATCTGAGGATGCCGATCCCCTACCTAAAATCTTTCAGTAGCTTTCCCTAGCCTTCAGGGTAAATTTCAGACCCTGATTGATCAGAATCCCATGTTCTTTCTCTTGACCCTGTCACTTGGTACAGAGGGGCTCTTTGCCTACAGCACCAGTCTGTCCCTTCCTCCAGCTTCACTCACTCATAGCAACCATGGGCATAGAGTACTTTTGTAATAAACTGATATTTTTTTAAACTAGCTTAAGAGTCACCTTTTCCTAGCCAACTATTCTTCAAACACCCTCCCCAAATCAGTCTGATTTCAAGATTCCTCTGTCACTCTGGATTATGTTTATCTCTATACCCATCTCTCTCCTCTATCACACTGAGCCACTAGAAAATATTCTCTGTACCACAATACCATATTTTCACCTTTTTTTATCATGAAAATCTTTATAAACATTCAGAAAAGTAAAGAGAATAGCATGACTGATAGTATAATTAATACCATATTCTTATCCAAATTTAACAATTGTTAGTATTTTTGACATAATTGCTTCAAATATGTTTTTGTGTTGGTGCATTATAATTATACAGAATAGTAGGACTCATTATGCCATATTTGTACATGTGCATAACACAATCACATATGGGTCTTTTATTGAGATAGTCAAAGTAAGTTACAAATATACTTTGATGTAAATATTTCTATATGCATTTTTAAAAAGTAAGGACATCTTTCTACTTAAACACAAAACTGTTATCTCATTCAATGAAATTAATAATACTCTATATCGCCTTATACCTAGTATGACTTTAATTTTATGTTCCCAGTGCCTAGTACAGTTTCTGGCAAGTTGCAATAAATACTAGTATGAATTAATTTCTCTGTAACATCAAATGGTATAGCAATAAGACTTCATCTACTCAAAAGTATTAGGGTTTTAGAATTTAAAATTGTTTCTAATTATAATGTGTTTTAATTTACAGATGAAGTTACAAAGAGGAGAGCAAAGAAAACTAAGAAAAAGGAAAAGAAGAAGAAACACAGATCGTCAGTTTTTTTCTATAATGTTTTAGTGGAAAAGCTAAAATGTGTATAAAATTATATAAAACAGTATGATTCCCCTATATACTCATCACCCAGTTTGAATTATTTTCAACTCATGGGCAGTCTGCACTATCACCTATTGTCTTGAAACTAATCCCAAATATCATTCCATCCATAAATAGCTCACCTTTCTCTAAAAGATAAGCATTCTTAAAAAAAAAAAAAACACACACACACACAATGTTCTTATCATGCCCAAAATATTTAACAATAATTACTCCATTCTCAGTAGTTTTTTCTACAGTTTATTCAAAGCAGAATCCAAATAATGTCTATAAATTGTAATGATTATATTTGTATAGTGTACTTCAGCATGCTCTTCTGACCTCTGTATTTCCCATACAATAATAGATCTAGAGACTTGACAAGCTTAATTTGGGCAGCTTCATAGGTGATGCTGTCTACTTCCATTAGGAGACAAAATAATGTCTGGTTGTCTCTTTTTGCTATATGAGCAGCCATTGGTTGTTATTGTCTAATCCTTTACTTCATTAGGGTTTGCAAAATGATGATAGCCTAATTCTGACTTTCCTTCTTCATTAATTAGGTAGAATAATTCTATAAAAGAAGCTTGCCCTCATCAATTACTTAAATATCCTGAAGTATAGTTTATATAGCAATTATCATTGCTTTGTTTTTTAAAATAATGAATTGGATTTTTTTAGTATTATGAGCTCAAAAAATGTAAACACATTTAATGTATTTTAATTCATTACAAAGATATTATTAGTGCTCAAATTGGTAAGAGCTGTTCTTAAGCTGTTTTATTTCTGTTGTCTTTCTACAATATAAGAACTATATTTCATTGTTCCCTTTAATCTCTTTTTAAATAGTGAAACATGATTTGGGTAAATATTAGAAAATTTTTAACTTAAACTTCTCTAACAAGTTTGAATTAGCTTGGAAGTCATTTTCATTACTGACTTAAAAAATTAAAATGTCTTTTAACATGGGAATATTAAGTGAATTTATATCAAATTATAATCCCTACAGGAAGAAATATAAGAAAAAGAAGTCTAAGAAGAACAGAAAAGAATCTAGTGATTCAAGTTCTAAGGATTCTCAAGAAGAATTTCTAGAGAATCCCTGGAAGGATCGATCAAGTAAGTTCTTCTGATAGACTTTAACTCAAACAGATGAAACAGTAAAGTAACCATTTGGTCAAAATGTGAATGTGTTTCTGAATATCTTTCATGCAGAGGCTGAAGAACCCTCTGATTTAATTGGCCCAGAGGCTCCCAAAACACTTGCTTCTCAAGATGACAAACCTTTGAAGTAAGTTTCAGTGTATTTATAATATCTAATGTACCTTTCAAAAAGTATGGCTGTAACTTACCTTGCCAAGCTTATCCCCCTCTACTCCCCAGGTTCCATATGACCTGGACTACTAAAAGTTCCCTTTGTTTACAGTACATATTTCCACTTTTGTGCCTTATTCATCTTGTTTCTCCCCCCAACTTGCCTTTGCTTCTTATTCCTGCCCTGTTTTCTTCCCTATCCCCAATTTCTTCCTGTTAAAATCTTTATCCTTCAAAGCCCTTTTCAAAAAGAGGAAGCATATGCTGATTCCCAATACTTCAAGTAGTTGTAATTTCTACCCCACTTTAATCCTTACAGCATATTCCATTCTTTTATGGAAGACATTTTTTACCATGTATTATAATTATATCCTTATTAATATGTAAACTCCAAAAGAACAAAGATTATTTTTATATTTCAAGCTTTGGGTTTAATAGGTATGCAAGAAACATTCACTGAATTAAATGAAGGGATAATAGCTTTTAAAGTCTCTTTGAATCAAAGGTAATAGATACTTGTTTCTAAATAGCATTATTATTAGTTATAAGTCTAAAAATATTAATTTTAGAGATATTATTTCTCCATTTAGGGTTTTTTTGTAAGGGAAAAAGAGAAAGGGAATGAGTTAGAGGAAGAAGCAGAAATGGCAGTACCTGTAGAGATAAATAAACCCACAATTATAAACCCTGAATTTACACTCACTAATATCAGTTCTTTTGTTTAAAATATGTATGCGTTTCTGAGTTAATAATGTAGGTCAAAGTGCATTGTTCATTAATTAAAGGAATTCACATTGGGCTTCCCAGCACACTACTGCTCAGCACATTCTTGTTGTTTGAAAAAAATGTTTTGTGCTCTCTTTAGACGATTAGTTTTATTATATTGAGATGGTTTTTAATGGACCTTTTCTGATTCTGAATTACTTTGTAGCTATGGCCATGCTCTCTTACCTGGTGAAGGTGCAGCTATGGCCGAATATGTAAAAGCTGGAAAACGTATCCCACGAAGAGGTGAAATTGGCTTGACAAGTGAAGAAATTGCATCATTTGAATGCTCAGGTTATGTAATGAGTGGTAGCAGGTATGTTCTTGGCATTGAATTCAATTTCCATGATTAGCTCTTTTCCTTTTCCTTCTACAAGAATAATATTTTGGTGATTGGAAATTGGAGTATAAATATTGGTTTGATATTGGCTTTTTGGTATAAACATACTTAGCTAACATTCCAAGTTTATATAAAACTTAGTCTCAAACTCAACTATAACCCTAACTTTGAAGAATCACTATTTCCTGTGTCCTTTCCTAGTTCATTTTTTGATACAGATATTTTATCCACTGGAAGATATAGTGAAGTTTAACTATCTATCGTAGTTCTACAAGGAATGTGGCATTTTAGTAGTAAGAAAAACATTTGCACAAGAAATGTTTCTTGGTTTTTGAGCTTGCTTCCAGCTGTCAATGTACCCAGTTTTATGGTAATGAATAGCAGAGAAGGATTTTGAAAGATGTCAGGTTCAGCATGCTGAAAGGAATACAAAATTAGGGAGAAGAAAGCATAGTAACCAGGAAGAACAAGGAGAGTAAGGTAATAGGGCAGTAGTACTAAAATCAAATTGAAATTTGGATTCTTTAAAACTTACTTCTTTAAAAAGTAGATAACTAGGGCTAGGGTTGTGGCTCAGAGGTAGAGCACTCGCCTAGCATGCGTGAGACACTGGGTTTAATCCTTAGCACCACATAAAAATAAAGATATTGTGTCCACCTATAACTAAAAAGTAAAAAAAAAGTAGATAACTATTTTGAAACGACACTGGAAGCAAATATTTGCAGAACCCCTAAAGCACACCTTCAGAATCTTGGGAATTCTGAGGACCAACATGTGAAACATCATTTCAGAGACCTAGCACAGTAAGACAAGGAAAAGAAACCAGAGGCATAAGGATGGGAAAGAATGATATACCACAGTCATTTTTTGTGAAGTATATGTTTACATAAAAAATTCCAAAGAATCTTTAGTTGAATTATAAGTAATAGAAGGGTGTAACAAATTGTTGTATATAAGGTTACTACACACAAGTAAATTGCATTTCTATATACCATCAAAAAGCAACTACAGAATGTAATAAAATAAAAAAAGGAAACATCTTTTATAATAGTGTCAGAGAATACAAAGGACTGGGGAATGAATCTAACAAAAGATGCCCCAAACCTCTACAGGGAAAACATTATTAAGAGACATTAAATAAGACCTAAATGGTGGAAAGCTGCCATGTTCATGGATAGGAAGGTAATATTTTAAAGTTGTCATTTCTTACCAAATTGATCTATAGATTTGATAAAATTCCAATCAAACAGTTTTTCATGAAACTTATCAAACTGGTTCTCAAATATATTTATTAGATGAAAAGGCCAAGAAAAGCCAAGTCATTTCTGAAGAAGAGTAGGGAAGGTTAGATTTTCTCTACCAGAGATGAGAACTTAGGAAACTACAGCACTTTAGAAAGTACAGGAGAACACCAAATTGCTCATTGGAATAAAATACAGAGCCCAAGGACAACCATATGTGTATGGGACTTTGGTGTATGAAAGATATGGCATGTCAGATCAGTGGAAAAGAGGGAACTATTTAGTAAATGGAAAAAAAAAATGGTTATCCATATGGAAAAAGATGAAAGTAAGACCCTAAATCATCATATATGAAAGGCAGGGCCACTAGATTAAGGACTCAAAGAGCAGATATCTTTTAGACCTTGGGATGAAGAAGTATTTTCTAAAGAAAATAAAAAGCCTACTGACCATAATATATATTGATACATTTGCCTAGGTTAAAAATAAGAATTTGTGTTCATGAAACAATGCATTAAAATAAGTAAAAAGACAAGTTTCAAACTGGAATGATCTTAGAATACACACAACTCATAGTTGAGAAAATTTAAAGAATACCTGTAAATAACACAAAAGAAAAATAGGAAAATGACACAAACAGGCATTTGTCAAAAGAAATAATACATATGCCCAATATACACTTAAAAAGATATTCTTATTATTGGAAATAGAAATCAAGAATTTAATGAAATACCATTTTACACCCATCTGATAGACAAAAGTTGAAAGTTCTAACAATACTAATCATTTTAACGAATGTGGACCTATAGGCTCTCTTAAATACTGCTAGTAGAGCTGGATGCAGTAAGGCATGCCTGTAATCCTAGCAGCTCAGGAGGCTGAGGCAGGAGGATCATGAGTTCAAAGCCAGCCTCAGCAACTTAGCGAGGCCCTGTCTCAACATAAAAAATTAAAAAAGGTCGGGGATGTAGCTCAGTGGTTAAGCGCCCCTGAGTTCCATCCCTGGTACCAAAAAAAAAAAAATGGTATTATTAAGAAAAGATTAATGAGGATATTCTGTGAGAAGAATTACTGAGAAATTAAGCCAAAAATAAAATTATCTCCAGGCATCGCCGAATGGAGGCTGTGCGACTGCGGAAAGAGAACCAGATCTATAGTGCTGATGAGAAGAGAGCCCTTGCATCCTTTAACCAAGAAGAAAGACGAAAGAGAGAGAACAAGATTCTGGCCAGTTTTCGAGAGATGGTATACAGAAAGACCAAAGGAAAGGATGACAAATGAGGATTTTCCGATTGCTCAGCAGATATTTTTAATAACAAAAAAGAAAGCCTGGGTTCCATACATATACACAAAAAGATTATTATGCTCTGAAAAAGCTTTACAGTGCTACTGTGCCTTCTATTTAACTCTTTCTTTATTTTGGATTGACTTACAACTTTCTGGTTTAAAAATCCAAAATATGAGTGAAATCCTACTGTATTAGGGGAGGTGGCATAGAGAGAAAGAATCAGTGAGATGAGAAACCTTAATCACATGCCATGGTTCGGTGCTACTATTGGCTCTACATGATGCTCTCCCCCATCCCACTGAACTTGTGGGAAATGATCATTCCTCTGTGTTGAATGTGTTATAAATGGACTTGATAGAAGCTATATAGGAGGCTATTTTTGTTAACAAAATGAAGGCTTTGCTGAAAAAAGAAAATCTGGAATTTGAAAACTGACTTGTATAATGCAATATACAGTCTGCCCAGGAATTAATGTAATTTTGGTTTAAGTCCCTACCTCCATTCTAAAACTAACAAGCCAACATGCATACTAGCCTATGGATTTGTTGAATTGAAAATGTGAACATTAGGTGGAATTCCTAATAAATTACTTAAAAATAGTTATTTTAGGGGCTGGGGGTATAGCTCAGTGGTAGAGCAGCAGGTGCTTGGCATGTGTAAGGCCCTGAATTTGATCTTCAGTACTGCAAGAAACAAAAAGTTCTCTCAAATATAAAGTCTTGGGAAATTTATTGCTATGCCAATATAAATTAGTATTTCTAAGTTGTACTTTAATGATAAGATAACATCTAAAAAGAGTGAGAGTCAACTACGGTCAAGAGTACTGATGGGAAAAATATAGTATTTTAACTTAGTTGTTTCAAATAGATGTAGATAAAATGATATTAAACTTTTTTAACCCTATCCTTTATGTAATAGGTAGATTTCATTTTAAGCATGGTTAAAGCTTTCAGTTTATGTTTTTATATCTATCATTCATTTTAATTCTTAACTTTGTATAAAAGGCCCTTATTTCATCACATTTTTTAAAGTAAAAATTGTGATCATAATATTTTTCCTTCCCTTATTTTGTTCAATTTTAGTTAGGTCACAAGTGTAAAAGGGGAGGGGCAATGGAAATTTTGACTTGTTATGGTTGGAAACTGTTTGATCTCTGTTGTTATTATGTACATAGGATGAATTTAGGTTACTGGGTGATGGGTAAATTCAGACTGTGCTATTTTTAAATGCCCTCTCTCCTTATAATAGTTTAAAGTGGTTTTTCTTTAAGGAATTTATAAGTAAAGCAGTCATATTTCATAGTATAGAGCACAGGTTTTTCTGTATGTTCTAAGAAAATGTCTACTTTTAACCCACAACTACTGAACTAAACAGCTGTCGCATGTAACAACATTCATGACCCCTGAACTTGAAGGGATTTGTATTTATCCATTTTGCTGAGCCTAATAAATCTGTAGTTTCCTAAAGTTAAAAAGGAAACTAGAGCTGAGCACAGTGGCACATGACTGTAATCCTAACAACTCTGGAGGCTGAAGCAGAAGGATCACAAGTTCTAGGTCAGCCTCAGCACTTTAGCAAGACCTTGTCTCAAAATAAAAAATAAATAAATAAAAAGGGCTGGGGATGTAGCTCGGTAGGAAAGCAACCCTGTGTCCAGTCCCCAGTATTGCAAAAGAAAAACAGAACCAAGTTCCCAAACTTGTTTTAATCCATTTACTTCCTTATAAAATAAAACCTAAAGTTTATAATTCCCACTTAAAAGTTTTATTCTCTAAGGACGTTATTTTTTTAAAAATATTTTTTACTTATAGATGGACACGATATCTTTATTTATGTTTTATGTGGTGCTGAGGATCGAACCCAGTGCCTCACACGTGCTAGGCAAGTACTCTACCACTCAGCTACAACCCCAGCCCCAGGACATTATTTTTAGTTGGCATGGTAGTTTTAACAGTAGCAATTTTGTGATATCCAAATATTGTGAATTTTTATTTGATTCTTTTGTGTCCTCCAGAGAGTAGATGCTCAACGACTGTTTGTTGAGTAAATGAAAGAAAAGGTATTTATTTCAGAACCTTACCATTCCTTTCATCGGGGTTTGTATAGGAAAGATCTGCCAAAGAATTGTTTTGGTAGCATATTCTTTGGGGAAGTAAAGGGAAGAATAAAAGGGCTAAAAGTATTTCATTTTCAGCTTATTACAGTTAATGCTTCAAACTATGCTTAGTCACTTGAGCCATCAAGTCAATAGTAAGGCTATTGTATTTTAAATGTATATATATATATATATATATATATATATATAGTTCTCCAAGAAAACTTATCTAGTTTCCCACCTCATGTCTATTGCTCTGATAAGATTATCCCTCCTTTTTAATTTATTGTACAAATATAATAGTAAAAAAATAAGGAAGAAAAATTACAGTTCCTTCCCATCAATTATCATTTGTATTTTGTGTTTCTTTCCAGTGTTTGTCTTTGTAAATATGTATTCTAAAGTACTTGTAAGTAGTCACTCAGAGTATAATGTAATTTTGTCTTTGGTGTTTTAAAATTTGGCAACCAGACAAGGGAGTCTCACAGGAAAATTAGAAACAAGTGATAATCTGGTGTGAGGATAGGAAGACAAAAAATAAGTGAGGGTAGTAACTGAACCCATCCCTGTGTCATTATCCTCCCACCCCCATCCTCAAGCCACCCAGCTGCTAATGTAAGTAAAGTGGTAAGTTGAGGAAGGCATCATGCCAGGTTGCAGAGTTTCAAAATGTATTATTTAGCAGTGAGATTTAACTCACTATAAATGAATGGGCCTATGAGGAAGGGAACCCTTCAAACTGGTTATACTATAAACTGTAAAACTGTTGCCTTGTTTTTTTGTTTTTGTTTTTGTTTTTTTTTTTTTGATTCCCACTTGTGTCCATAAAAGGTGTGTCTGGGCTGGAGACTTAAGTGCAGAGGGGAAACAAGAAGCCAAGTACTAATCTTAGTTTGGTCTGAGAGGTGAATTTTAGCACCTCTCTAAATTCAGCTCTGTGCTTGCAAGGATCTAAAGGATGCATAGAGGGATAATAAAATCTTTTAGAAACATACTAGTTAATCTGCTAATGTGATGGAAGTTGAATGGAAAAATGAATGCAAAAAATTACAGCTGGATTGTATGCCGCAAGTTTATTATTCAATAAATATTCTGTGGTTCGATGTGCTGTATTGTATTTTTAATATATTTGGATTAGAAAAACAATCCTAAAACATTCTGTAAGATTCAGACAATTGAATTTAGAAGGTGATTGACTCCATTAAAAGATTTTTGGCCTCAATAATGTCCCTCGGCCATTTTTCTCGAAAGCGAGCCATTCCTGGTCTACAGAGGAAGAAAAACAAACACCAAATGCTTTTAAAATTAAAAAAAAAAAAATTGAACCAGGGATTTACTGTTATATTCCTAGTGAGCAATAAGCCATTTTTTTTTGCCAGGGAGAGAGTAAGTAGAGAGGGTGGCAGGGTTCTCTCTATTCGTTACTGTTTTTTGGACCCAATCAACAAAAGGATTAATGAGCTTACATGTAAAGATCTTTAAGAGAGCTACTATACAGATAAAGGGATTATTTAATACATGATATAACTCCATGTAATTTTGAAGTTTCTTATAGAAACAATAGACATGACTGGCTTTTTTACCCACCCTATTCCAGCAAATAATCCTCAAGTTTCTAATTATTATTATTATTATTTTGGTGGTGCTGGAGATTGAACCCAGGGCTTTGTGAATTCTAGGCAAGCACTCTACCAAATGAGCTATATCCCCAGCCCCTCAAGTTTCTAATTATTGCAAAACCAGACACTAAGGAAAAGTGTTCTAGACCAATGGCAGAATTCTAGTTTTAGTTCATTCTAATAGGGTAGGTCCAAAGAAGATAAATGACTATTACGTGAATTATCTGGCTGTGGGTCTTCTGGATTCCTGGAGTATAATGACCTTTTCCCCACCCTTTCAAAATATGTCTCCAAATGTTCATTACCTTAGAACTAATGAATGGCCCTCAAAGATATAAGAGACATCAATGGGTGTATCCTAAGAGAAAGAAGGACAACTGTCAGTGTAGACTGAACATACCAACTCTTAATTCCCTCCCTACTCTTCTCTAGATACTCTTGAATTTCCAGAATTCATCCTAATTATAAAGTGGGAACATCTAAGTGGTAGTTCTTTGTCACTTCAAATCTATCTGAAAAAAAGATCTTTTTGGCAAAAAATATCTTAAGAATTGCCACAAAATTGGAGACAGGTTGTCAGAGGATTATGCTGTTTATTAATAGGAGCCTGAGGAGTTCATTTACTTTCTTTATATGCTTCAGTTTACTCAGCTGACAATCTCTACCTCTGAAGAATGACATCAGATGGAAATAATATAAATGAACAAGGTTTGAAAACATAATGAAATATAAGTCATAATGTCTCAATGTTCCCCTCCCAATCTGACCTCCAGAATGATGCCTGGAATATTGAGCAAGAGCCTTCTTCCCAAGACTATCTATATATTGTCTCCAGTATGGTCTGGATCATTTCTACCAGCCTTACTTCAAAATCTCTGACTTTCAGAGCAAGACAACTGATGGAGGGATATATGACCAGAATTGAACTCTCCATCTATTGTACCTCTTTAGATTACTTCAGCTGAAGATACATGTGTTCTGGAATAGAATGAGTAGGGGACATAGTTGGCTCACTGATGATATGATCCATATATAAAGCCTTAAAGTCAGATCAGAGCTCAGGCAACTTTTGAGAAAGGATGGGAAGACAAAGGGAAAATAACATTTTTCATGTCTGTTATGTTCCAGGCATTATGCTTGGTACCAGCCCTGCTCCTCTGAGGCCCTTTCTCCTGGAATCATGGGTGTTATTTTGGCTCCTTTCACACGAACTCTCAAGTCAACATGCTATTTGTGGTCTACCTAGTGGCTACAAGCAGTCATTCCTTCAATATATATATATATATTTTTTTTTTTTGGCCAGGTCTTGTTTTTCAGCAAGACAAACATCCCTGCCCTTATAGAACTTACATTCTGGTGGAACAGACAAGAACAAAATAATTGATGATACAGAATATGTGAAGGTAATAAAATGTAATGAAGAAAAAGCATGGGGGATGGGATGGAACAGAAAGAAAGTGCAGGAGAGAAGGTGAGGGGGTAGACAACTACACAATGCATGTAGGTAGAGGAGAGTATTCTAGTCAAATGGCACAGCAAGTGCAGAGTCCATGAGGCAGGACTATACCTGGCTTACTTGAGAAGCAGCAAGATCAGAGGGGTTGGAACAGAGTAAGTTAGTGGAAGGGGTAGTGGGAAAGCAGATAAAACAAGGGACCAGATCACACAAGGCCTTGTAGCCATTTGATATGCAAATATAAGTCTCTGGACCTGCAGTGTGAGCACTGCCTGGAGACTTGTTAGTGATGCAGAATCCCAAGTTTTACCCCTGACCTGCTGAATCAGAATCTCCATATTACCAAGTACTTTGTATGTGCTTTAGAATTGGAAAAGCACTTTTGGAAAGTTTTAAACAGAGGAGTGACAGAAATTCACTTGATGAGGTTCACTGGCTTATTGCTATATAGAAAAGAGGCACATTGATGGCAAGGACAGAAGCAGAGAGACTGGTTTGGAAGCTGTTGAAATAATCTTGGTGCAAAAGGATGGTGTCTTGGAAGAGGGTGGTACAAATGGACTGGTATGAAATTGTGGGGCGCTGGGTATGTTTTTGAAGGTATAGTCAGCTGGATTTCTTAATGGATTGGTTGAGGAGTGTGAGAGAAAAGAAAGGGTCAAGGATGACACCAAGAATTTGGCTATCAGCTGAGACAAGGAAGACTGTATGTAGCTCAGATTTGGAATGGAAAATTGAAAGTTTAATTTTAAACACAATAAATGAAATATTTATTATACCTCCAAGTGGGAGAGATCTGGACTTGAGCTGTAAATTTGGGAACCACAAGCTCTTGGTGACATTTTTCAAGACTGATCGAGATAACTATGGAAGTGAGTAAAGGAAAGGGGTTTAAGACTTGAGTTTTGGAACACATTACATGTAGAAGTTGGTGTGAGGCAGAGATAGCAATGGAGACTGATAGAGAATGTATGGTCAGTGAAGCAGGATGAAAACCAGAAGAGTGTATTCTTCTAGAAACCAAGTGGGAAGTTTCATGGAGGAGGGAATAATCAGGTAGGACAAGTGCTGCAGATGGGCCAAGTAAGATGAGGACAGAAATATGATAATTAAATTTTGCAAAGAGGGCATCATTGATAAATTTGACTAAAGACATCTCCATTCTCCTTGAAGCTTCACTGTGGGGAACAGAGCATCAAAGGAAGAGCTTACCGGAGGTTTGCTTTTGTTGATCTTGATGGTGAAGTAGGCAGTGGCACTGACTCGTGGCATGGGTACCTGAGCTGTTGGGATGCTCCAACGCACGCAGTAGATATAGCGGAAGGTGTGACTTAGCTCTTCCTTCTTTATAAACTCTGTGTAGTGCACCCAGCGGCTTTGATACTCCCAAGTCTGCTTCATAGAAAAAAGAAAGCTCACAGACAAAGAAAGGCAGACTTCTACTCAAGCACTTTTGATAAAAGCAGTGCATAACAGTCAGGGTTGCAGCCCTGTTCCGGAGTCCTTGCATTTTTTTTTTATTGGGAGTCAAACTAGAATCAACTCTCAGTTATCTCCACAGTGGGGGTGTGAAAAGGTGAAGCTGAAATGAAATAAAAAAAATAATGCACATATCACTTGAAATTGGGCTTTAGACTGGAGGGGCACACCCTCTGAAGTGTACGTGTACATATACACAGCTACAGGCTCCTCCACACCCTTACTTGGGTGTGTAATTGGAATTGTGGTTAATTGGAAAATAATTAAAGAGTGATTAGAACACGTGTTCTGCTTGCCCCATCTCAGGAGACCTACAGGTGTGACTAGAAAGGAATGAGGCTCCTTGATCACAGCTAGAGATGGTTTATAAAATAAGAGCAGAAGAAGAAGTCAGGCAATAGGATAATCCATATCCCTCAGAAAGGGATGATGCTGTTTGCACCATAGGAAAAGCTTCTCCTTTCCAAAGCACTAGTGGAGTCAATAAACAGAAGACCTTAGAATATCTAACACTCATAGGATCTGTTTTCTGCCTCTCATTGCATTTGACACTCCCCTCTGTACTCCAGTGATGAGAAGCAGTGTTCACTGTAGTATCCATATTAAACATTATGGCAGGATTAAATTATCCATAATACATAATGGGCATAGCATCTTGGGCCCACAATACACTGAAAGCCCACAAAACTTTTTTTTCTTTTAAAATCAGAAGAAATGGGCACAGTGGTGCATGCCTGTAATCCCAGCGACTCGGAAGGCTGAGGCAGGAGGACCACAGCTCAAGACCAACCTCAGCAACTTAGCAAGGCCCTAAGCAACTTAAACCTTGTCTCAAAATGAAAAGGGCTAGACGGGCACAGTGGCACACACCTGTAATCCCAGCTGCTCGGGAAGCTGAGGCAAGAGGATCATGAGTTCAAAGTCAGCCTCAGCAAAAGTGAGGTGCTAAGCAACTCAGTGAGACCCTGTCTCTAAATAAAATACAAAATAGGGCTGGGGATGTGGCTCAGTGATTGACTGCCCCTGAGTTCAATCCCTGGTACCAAAATAAAAAGGGGGGGCTGAGGATGTGACTTACTGGTTAAGTACCCCAAATTCAATCTCTAGTACCCCAAAAAATAATAAATAAAAATAAAGTGAGAAGAAATGAACTTTTAGGGCCGATGTCATCTTTATAATGATGTTGTCTTAAACTAAAAATTTGAGAAAGGATCCCACAAAAGGAAGAGGGCAGCCTGGACTGGAGGATGACTCAGGAGGGTTGCTTGAGTCCAGGAGTTCAAGACCAGTTTGGGCAATGTAGCAGGATGCCATTTTAAAAAGTATAGTGTATATATGGGAGAATAGTGCATAGAAATCATAATGCAGCCCTGATTCTTAGCACAGGACCTGAATGTAATAGATATTCCAAAAGTTAAATTCAGGCTGGGGATGTAGCTCAGTGGTAGAGCAGTTGCATAGCATGTAAGAGGCCCTGTCCATTACCAGGGCCACAAAACAACAACAACAACAACAACAAAAAAATTCCAACTGAATCCCCTTGGGCTACTGAGGTACAGGAAGCTTCTGAATCAAAGAACAAATGTAAGTAGGAAGCAGGATATCTAACAATCCCAGTGATATGGGAAAGGAATGTGGGGAAGCAGATGGCAAAAAGATTTCAGGCCCTCTTTTGTAAAAAGTAGGCTGATCTGCTTTGGTTTGTTTCCAACTCATATCTAGTTGGCCAGAGAGAACCATGGGAATCTAGATTTCTTGAGATCAGAAACTGTGTCTTCTTTCATATATCATCCTTTTTTGTTTGGTACCAGGGATTGAACTCAGGGCTGCTCAACCACTGAGCCACATCCCCAACCCTACTTTGTATTTTATTTAGAGGCAGGGTCTCACTGAGTTGCTTCGTGCCTCAGCCTCCTGATATATCATGCCTTTTCATGAAGAAGCCCAACAGTCAACCCCTTGTAGCCCAGTGAAGCTTAACTTATTTCCCCTTAACCTTTTTATATTACTTAATATATGTTTTTAGCTCTAAAATTTAATCTTTCACACAATCACAGACTTCATAGCACTGGAATGGTCCCTAGAGATAATCTAACAAAGCCCCTTACATTGCAGATGAGAATTCTGGGTCCTTGAGTAGAGACATTCTAACATGACACCTGGATGGCACCCAGGGATCAAAGCAGCCAGCTCAGTGTTTTTTTCCACCCCACCAGATGCTTCAATTTTAAGAGTTCTTCTGAGCTTGGCTCTTTGTATTTTTTCCCTTTCATGAACTAAGGCAGCCTTAGATTGACATTAAATTCAACTATTCCCATTAGGCCGGTCTCTTCCCATTTTTATCATTATGCAGGCCCCTGTTTTTTGTTTTGTTTTTTGGGGGGTGGTGCTGGGGATTGAACCCAGGGCCTTGTGCATGCAAGGCAAGCACTCTACCAACTGAGCTATATCACCAGACCCCTAGGGCTCTGATTTTTATGTACTTCCAGTGAATGTGTATGTTATCCTTATGTTTTGTAATGTTTATATAATACCACTTCATATACTCACTTCCAGGAAACAGTATGTCACTGTGTCACTCTACCATGGATGGCTTAGTCATTTACTTATTATTGGACCCACAAAACCAACAGGCACCTGGAATTACATGCACAAAACTGTTATCTATAGTAAATGACCTTTGGGAGAATAGAACTGGGCATCCTGGCAGTGGAGGGGAAGCTTTCATTTTCTACTTTGTGTCTTTTTGTTCACTGGGTTTTGAAAATAATGTCTTATTTTTATTTATAAAAAGAACTGTATTAGATGATGGGAATTTTCTATTTTTTTTAATAAACAACCCACTTGGGGGCTGGGGTTGTGGCTCAATGGTAGAGTGCTTGCCTAGCATGCTTGAGGCACTGGGTTCTATCCTCAGCACCATATAAATGTAAAATAAAGATATTGTGTCCACTTAAAACTAAAAAATAAATTAAAAAAAAGACTAATGTAAAAAAAAAAAGAACCTATTTGTGGGGCTAGGGTTGTGGCTCAGTGGTAGAGCACTTGCCAAGCACGTGTGAGGCACTGGGTTCAATTCTCAGCAGCACATATAAACAAATAAATAAAGGTCCATCAATAACTAATAATAATAATAATAAAAGAGAACCCACTTGTAAAGCTAGGAGTGGTAGCACATGCTCGTAATCCCAACTACTCAGGAGTCTGAGTCAGGAGGATTGCAAGTTTGAGGTCAGCCTCAGCAACTTAGTGATATCTGTCACACACACACACACACACACACACACTTGTATATTCTCATTATTCTCATTGCCAGATTATGTTTCTGAAAAGAATAAATAAATCGTTGTGCTCACTGGCAATATATGAGTATACTATCCCTACCCCCACAAATGCACAAGCTTTCTGATACCAGGTCTAATCATTCTTATTCACATTGCAACACCTTGAAATCTTTTGAATTTGCATTTTAGGGATTTTCATTGATGATAAAACTATTGTCATCAAAAATAATTTTATTATTAGGGTAGAAAGAATATATTAGATGGGGGCTGTGGGTGTAGTTTAGTGATAGTGCACTTGCCTGGCATGTACAAGGCCCTGGATTTGGTCCCCAGCACTACAAAAACAAATAAACAAGCAAACAACAAAAGAATATATCAGACAATTAGGAAATGAGATGGCACAGGGCTGTAATCCCAGTAAGTCAACTCAGGAGGTTGAGGCAGGAAGATCACATGTTTGAGGCCAGCCTCAGCAACTTAGCAAGATCCTGTCTCAAAATAAGAAGGACTGCAGGGCTTGGGTTGTGGCTCAGTGGTAGAATCCTTGCCTAGCATGCATGAGGCAGTGGGTTCGGTCCCCAATACCACATAAAAAACTAAAGGTATTGTGTCCATCTACAACTAAAAATATTTTTTTAAAAAAATAGAAAGGAATGCAGATACCTCACATTTCCTCATCTATAAAATGGTCATTGATATACCTATGTACAGGTTTGTTGTGAGGACTAAATGAGATAATACATGGTGAAGTGCTTGGAGTGCTTGGCACATAGCAATGGTTAGCAAATGATCATCACCTAATTGACCATCCCCTATTATGTGGTAAACTCTGAGAAACTGACAATAAGCTTAAGAAAACTCACCATCAGAAATGCCTTGCATTTGGGGGCTGGGGTTGTAGCTCAGTGGTAAAGTGCTTGCCTAGCACGTGTGAGGCCCTGAGTTCGATTCTCAGCACCACATATAAATAAATAAAAGTAAAGGTCTATTAAAAAAAAGAAAAGAAATGCCTTGCATTTGGTAAATGGATGGACCCGGAGACTATCATTGCTAAGTGAAATAAGCCAGTCCCCAAAAACCCAAGCCAGAATGTTCTCTCTGATGCCGATGCTGACTTACAGTGGGGTGGGGGGAGAAGGGAAGGTTCACCAGATTGGACAGGGCAGAGTGGGGAAGCAAGGGGGGACAGGAATGGAAAAGAAAGTAGAATGAATCAGACCAGTGTAACTCCACATCATGTACAACCACAAGAATGGGAAGTTGTACTCCATGTATGTATGATATGTTAAAATACACTCTACTGTCATGTATAACTAAAAAGATCAATTTTTTTTAAATTAAAAAAAGAAATGCCTGACACTGCCAGGCATAGTGGTGCATGCCTGTAATCCCAGTGGCATGGGAGGTTGAGGCAAAAGGATTGCAAGTTCAAAGCCAGCCTCTGCAACTTAGTGAGGCCCTAAGCAATTTAGCAAGACCCTGTCTTGAAATAAAAAAAATAAAAAGGGCTGGGGATTTGGCTCAGTGGTTAAGCACCTGGGTTCAATCCACATACAAAAAAAAAAGGAGGGGGATGAGGAGGAGGAGAAAAAAGGAGGAGAAGTAGAAGGAGACGGAGACGGAGAAGAAGAAGAAAGAAATGCCTGGCACCTAGATAGTAGACCTCACTTCTCAGGTTCACTGTATTAGTGGAGCCGGGAACAAGGTTCTTTTTTATCATGAGTTATATAGAGCTTTTAGCTTTTTAGTCATCTTCTTTCTAATTGACTCTATCCTCACAATAGGCCTCAAAGTAGTTGAGACAAATATTTTGACCCCTGGCTTTTCATCTATGAAGAAATAATGGTAATGAGATAATAAATCCACTCATATATTCAACACAGATTTATTGAGCATCCACTGTGTAGCTGATGTTGCTAGGGCCAGGGACAGCAGTGATCTCAGCCTTCATTGTCCATATTATCTGATGGTCTCTGGTAGAGATAAGTGCTGAGAGAGGAATGAATCAGAGAAAGGAAGAAGATTGCATTTCTCAGTGAAGTGGCCAGGAAAGGCCTTGATGAACATGTGGCATTTTAACAAAGATCTAAAGAGAGGTAAAGCAGTGAGCCATGAAAATATATCTTGAGACAGTTCCAGGCAGAGCAGACAGTGAATGCAAAGATCAGGGCAAGAACATACCTGGAAATTAAAAAAACAGCAAGGAGGTGGGAGGCTGAAGTGGGGAAAATAAAAAGGGAGAAGGTAGTTGCCGATGGAGTCAGACTCATAAGTGGTGAGAAAGGAGCAGGGGTTCGGATAACTTTATATCTTTTAGGCCATCATCAGAACTCACTTTCCCTTTTTTAAAAAATAACTTTATTTTTTATTTATTTGTGGTGCTGAGAATCACCCCAGTGCCTCACATATGCTAGGCAAGTGCTCTACCACTGAGCCACAACCCCAGCCCTCACTTTGCCTTTAATCAGAATGGCCAGTGTGATTTCCAAAAGAAAGTTCACCTGCTTTCTCTGTCCCACTCCAGTCTGATTTAGGAGCCCTGACTGCAACAGACAGAGGTCTTTGCCCAACCTCAAATGGAGACATGTTGTAGAGCAGGAAGGCCCCAGAGTAACTAATACTTCATTCCTCCTCACCATGCTCTACCCCTCTTGATGATAACAGTGAGAGGTGCTACTGGAGCACAGAGGGAGAGTGTAGAACCAGAAATGCCTGTCCTTTCCTCAGAACCACCTGACCAGGGTCTCTCTAGGGCCTAGGAAACTGCTCCAAAGAATGTAGTCTAATGGCCTGGCCAGAGGAACAACACAGCTGGAAACTTGTCTTAGGAATAGGTGAGTTCACCTCCATCAGTTTCAAATGGTTTCTCCTCTGTGGAAGTACAACGAGAGATTTCAAGCCTTATTTCTTTAGGTACCTGCCAATTAAGCAAAGAAACCCAAGATCTTCCTCTGAAATCTGCCAGGAAAAGACATAGAGGGATCAGAGCTGGACACAAGTGGGGAGGGGGAACTGATGGACATGTACATCTTACCATCTGGGCAATACATTCCAAAGCTGTAGCAAAAAGACACTTGTTCCTGGGGATGTGGATGTAGCTCAGTGGTGGAGTGTGTGCTTTGAATGAGCGAAGCCCTAGGTTATATCCCTAGCATCACACATACAAAAATGCACTTGATCCACTCACATCCACTCTTTTAGTATGAGCATAGTGAAGTTGGGAGCCACTGGACCCCACTGAATGCAATAGCAGGAACAATTTGCTTAATGGGAAATGCTAGTTGTCTTTTTTTTCCCTCTAGGGCAATATCAAGTTAAGATGATACAAACACAGAGCAATATGATTAAGCTTTTTACCTTCAAAGACTAACCCACCTTGATTTGGGAACCCAGATGGAGACAATGCTTACTTAATCTAGTCACCTTTGATGTCATTACCTAGGTTTTCTGGACCTCAAACTTTTGATCAAACAAGGGCCCTTTTAACTAACTTACCAAAACAAACTTCTCAATTTGTTTACGGCCTTTTTCTACTGTGAATTCACCATGAGTAATCCACTTGATGTTTTTGATGGGGTTTCTAGCTTCTGCAAACAAGGCATGGATTTGTTAGTTGCCTGGTAGTTGCCATGAAACAATTCTTCAGGCAACCAAACAGGATTATTACCTTCCACAAACTGAACGGCAACAGCGATGGCATCCTCAACCAGAGCCAGAGCTACTTCGGTCACATTTCTGTTGTCTTGTGTGTCCTCCATCATTGCTGTCATCATAGATGTTGTTGCATTGGTTTCAGAATCCTTACCCAAAAACATTACCTTCCGACTTTTGGGTATTTCAGATGCATCCATTTTCTTTTGCCTGGATAAAGACACTCAAGAAGTTACTCTCTGGGTCTGGGGATGTGGCTCAAGCGGTAGCGCGCTCGCCTGGCATGCACTTGTCGCTGGGTTTGATCCTCAGCACCACATAAAATAAAGATGTTGTGTCTGCCGAAAACTAAAAAATAAATATTAAAAAATTCTTTCTTTCTCTCTCTCTCTCCTCTCTCTCTCTCTCTCTCTCTCTCTCTCTCTTTCTTTCTTTTAAAAAAAAGAAGTTGCACTCAAGTAAATATAGACTATCTCTTGAAGAATCATGACACAGGTAATAGCCGTTGTCCCTAGGAAGAATATTGGGAGTTAGGGGTAGGAGTGAGACCTCACTCTTCTTGACTTTGTACCTAGCTGCTGGGTTCTAATTTTCCTGAAAATCAAGGATTTCCACATTCTTAAAGCCATGAAGACTTACATCAAAATGTGTAGAACTGGACATAGTGGCACACACCTATAATCCCAGTACCTTGGGAGGCTGAGGTAAGAGAATTACAAGTTTGAGGCCAGCCTCAGCAACTTAACGAGACCCTGTCTCAAATTTTAAAAAATAAAAAGGACTGGGAGTGTAGCTCAGTTGTAAAGCACCCCTGGGTTCAATGTTCAATCCCTAGTACTTAAAAAAAAGTAATAAAATGATTCTTAACTTCTTTAGAGTTCTAGAAGTCCAAATAATAATTTCTTATTGATTCTTTAAAAGTACCTCAATCCCTGCTCTGAGCAACTGGGGTACAGGCTCTTTTAAGATAATGAATTCACAAGCTGGGGGTGTAGCTCACTGGTAGAGCACTTGCCTATCTACCTTGTGCAAGGCCCTGGGTTCCATCTCCAGCACCACACACACACAAACAGTAGTCAATTAAAAGTCAAGGCAGCAGAGGGCGGGTTGGTGACTCTGTTTTTTTGTTTTGTTTTGTTTTGTTTTGTTTTCCCTCTTGGACTTTTCAGGCATATAATTAGACCATCTCCAAGAAATTATCATTTTTACTATATATTTTCCTGAAAAATATATCTTTATGGGTATTAGCTTTGACACTTCCAGAAAAAAAACAATGTTAAATGGAAATGGAGATAATGAGCAATCTTCTTTTGTTTCTGAATTCAGTAGGCATGTTTTCTGGTGTTACACTATTAAGGATAACACATATGATTTGATATTTACCACATCAAGAAAAAAATTTGCTCCTGTTCTATAAAGAAAATTATAAAGTTTTCCAAATGCCATCAACATCTTTTGAGAATGTTATTGGCGTTATCAGGGCTATGGACATTCATCTGTCACAGAGGTATCTTGGCACATTTTTAGTCTTTGAATATTTTTTCCTCAAGTCTTGGATTCTCTTTCTTTCTGTACTACTGCTTAAGTCTCTTCACTTCTGAGAAATCACTTCTTTTCAACACACTTATAAATCCTTGCAGGTAATTTCTTATATTGGAGTTCTGCATGATAGCAGATGTCTCTCTCCAAATGGAGCTATTTACTTTTTCTGTAAATAATAGTTTCCAGTGTGGGGGTGATTGATGTGCCACATTTCATTTAGCTGTTACCCCAGAGCTATGATATTAGCCACTGGATACCTCCCATTTGCCCTTCCAGATCCACTCACTCCCCTTTCCCATCTCTCCCTGATCACTGTCCTGGAAAGCTGATCACACAAATAGGCTCTCTATTGCCCTCTGGTGTCCAGAAGTTTCCACACAAGACCAAGCTGAGGGAAGGAGGATAAGGTGGAAGTTATATATCCCCTGATGGCTCTCCCCCTATAGGGTCACCTGTGGCTGACTTCCTGGACAAGGTTCCAGCTTCACCTAGGGCCAGTGTCTCACACAACCTCTTGGTTTGGTAAGAGTAATCATTTTTTCCCATCAACCCCCACTGGATCCCACTATCACTGGCGCTGGAGAAATAAAATGTTCCCTTGTTTCCCTGTACTCTAGTTACATCTTTGTATATATCCCCCTTACCAATTATTCTAATTTTAATATGCCAACAGTTTCCTATAGAGATGCTGAGACATAAACAGAGGGACTCTTGTTACCATGTAGAAATGAGGAGACCAAGCCTGTCTGGCTCCATAGCCAGTGCTATTAACTACACTACTCTTCTCTCTCCAGGATTCAGAAAGGGTGGTGGGGCCTTGTCCTCACATTTTCATCTGGCATCCAGAATGTACCCATTCTCCTGTGAACCTCCTTCATGAGGGGCAACTCCTTGTTGCCTTTCTTAACATCATTGTTGGTCATAGGGGGTGGTGGATACTGTACAAGGCAAACTGGTTCCCATGGCCATCAACCAAAAATAATTTGAACAGCCTTTACATATTCCTATCATAATATTGACCTGTGTTCATTTAGACCTTGATATTAGCCCATTAAGCTCATTATACCTCTGTCCCAATTCCTTCTTACTGTAGCTGGAGGGTAGACAAGATCATTTGCTGAAGGAAATAAAATCTTTCCAGGCTGCCTATTCCAAAACTGGCAGAGGCTAAAAGATGGGTGTGAAGGGGATCTGAAAGCCCTCAACACTGGAGAACTGGCTTACCTTGGTCCTTGGGCCATGCCCATTTGGCCAAAGGAATTTGCCATCAATTCTGTGGCTAAAGACAACCACCCAAAAGGTTTTGTAATTTTTTTCAGTTCAATAGGCTTTGGTGAGTTAGAGCATCTTGATCCTTGAGAGAATTGGTCATTTGGTGACTTAGCTTTCAGTAAATTGTCTCTTAAGGGATTGATTAGAAACCAAATCTGTGATCTCCAACACCAAGCAAATGAGCTAGGGGCTTTAAACATGGAAGGATCACCTTAAGATCTTCCCCAGGAAGCCATATGCCCCAGCAGAAGGGGGCAGTTGGGGAGCAGGGCTCAGAAAGAAGCTCAAGTTTTATCCTCACACATCTGTATATCATTCTTTTTTTTTTTTTTGAATTTTTTAATATTTATTTTTTAGTTCTCGGCTGACACAACATCTTTGTTTGTACGTGGTGCTGAGGATCGAACCTGGGCCGCACGCATGCCAGGCGAGCGCGCTACCACTTGAGCCACATCCCCAGCCCCTGTATATCATTCTTGACCATCCCTCCAACTGGCTTCTTCTAGTTCTTTTTCCCCCCTTCCCTTTTCTAATAAGAGGCTAGGTGAGCAGGATGGGTGGGAAGAAATGGGGGCACGGTCAAGTTTGAGGTCTGGGTGATAAGTAAGGAAAAATCATTGCAGATCCTTTTCATGGAATCTCCCACCCCTTAAGAATCCCCATACCTGAGTGAACAGATCTTTGTTTGAAGCAGTAGCAGCAGAAGCAGGGAAAGTCTCAGAAGGAATTTCTCAGCAGCTTTTCCCCCAAGATTCAGAGCCGGAATGTTTACAAATGCTGCCAAGGCAACACCAGTTTCAACCAATGAGAAGAAAACCCACATGTTTCTGGCTGCTTCTGTTAATAAAAAAGGAAAATAAAGAGGGAGGGAAGGAAGGGGGAGGAAGACCAGTCACAGCCACCATCTGACCTTGATATAACAGGACTAAGTCATAGGAGCCATACCCACTTCGTCCCAGCAGGAGATGAGCTTGCAGGGCTGTGCCAGGAGGACTAGTAATGTTGCATTTCTCAGCTGGTATGCATTGGGCATCCTGATGATATACCAGTCACAGTATTAAACCTTTAATGATAAATTATCTATACCTTATAACAGCACCATGAGATAGGTATCTGTACTTTCATTTTATAGATGAACAAAACAAGGCCCAAAGAGTGTTAAATAAATTGCCCAAACTCAAACCCAGAGTTGTCTGCATCATTAACCAGGGTCATTTACTTTTTCATTTCCAAATTCTAAGGTTAGAACCTCCCCTGTGCCATTGACTATTTTTAAAGACGTTTTTTGGACTGGGGATGTGGCTCAATGGTAGAATGCTTGCCTGGCCTGTGTGAGGCCCTGGGTTCCATCCCCAGCACTGGAAAAAAAGTCTTTTGTGAATCAAGCATGAGAGAGTATACTATAATGGTTATCAGCACAGACTCAGGAACAATTTACTTAACACTTATCTTTCTCAGTTTACTTGTCTATAAAGTGGGGATGATGATAATACCTAAAGAATAGGATTTTGGAGTGGATTTTTGTTGTCATTGTTGTTTGTTTTTATTTTTGTTGTTTTCTTTTGGTTTTGGTAATAGGCATTGAACTCAGGGGCACTTAACACTGAGCTACATCCCCAGCCCTTTTTATTTTTTATTTTGAGACAAGAGTTTCGCTAAGTTTCTGAGGCTGGCTTTGAACTCCTGCCTCAGCTTCCCCAGCTTCTGGGATTATAGGTGTGTGCTACAATGCCCAGCTGGAATTTTTTTTTTAAAGAGATACATTTATTCAGTGTCAGGATCACAATATTATATTTAGCAATCAACAGTATGGGTGCCAAAATTATCTTTATTAAAAGCTTTTGTGCTGGGTGTGGTGGCACACATCTGTAATCCCCATGGCTCAGGAGGCTGAGGCAGGAGGATTTCAAGTTCAAAGCCAGCCCTAGCAAAAGCGAAGCACTAAGCAACTCAGTGAGACCCTGTACTCAGTGAGTACTTGCCCCCCACCCCCACCAAAAAAAAAAAAAAAAACTTCATTGGAATGCTTTATACTTTCCACAGAACTAAAACTAAAGTAACCTGTCATACAATTAGTCACAAATACAGTCCTCAAGGTTTTTTTTTTCCCCCATACACATGAATGTTGTCTAGAATATGGCTTCTTTGTAAGCAGCTAAGCCCTGCCACCACTGTGTCTCGTTGAATTGACCAATCTGCTGTAACCTGTAGTTTCCCTGTCACCACCCTGGCTCTCCTCTTCTGCTAAGCTTTGTTTCCTGGCAGTAATTAAAACCTTCTGTCACTGGCATAGATACTGCTACTGCTGCTGCTGGAACCGCTCTAGCTGCCTTTATTTTGTGGTTTGGCAATGTATAGGCTTCCACCATTATAGGGGCCAGAGCTTTTGCCTTCAAAGTTTCCTCCTTTCATGGATCCCAAATTTGAAGATTGATTGTTGTAATTGCCAAGATCCTTGTAGCTTCTACCACCTCCAAAACTGTTTGTAGCCAGGCACAGTGGCAATCCCAGAGGCTTGGGAGGCTGAAGCAGGAGGATCGCAAGTTCAAAGCCAGCCTCAGCAACATAGCAAGAACCTATCTCAAAATAAAAAATAAAAAGGATTGAGGATGTGGCTCAGTAGTTAAACACCCCTGGGTTTAATCCCCACTACCAAAAATAAATAAATAAATAAACAAACAAAACTGTTTCTATCATTACCAAATCCATTGTAGCCATCCATGTTTCCACCATATCCACCACCCCCACAGCTGCCATCAAAGCCTCCATACTCACTTGAAGTTTCCTCCATGACCAAAATTGTCATTGTCACCAAAGCCACCTGCATGACTACCACCAAAGTTTCCAGAACCACTTTGACTTCTATGGCTAAATGAAGCATTAACCATCTCTTGCTTCTACGGCGCTTTCTTCACTTCACAGTTGTGGCCATTCATAGTATGGTTTCTATGAATGACAATCTTATCCACAGTCATAGTTGTCCAAGGTTACAAAAGCAAAGCCCTGAGCTGGGAGACCCTGTCCCTAAATAAAATACAAAATAGGGCTGGGGATGTGGCTCAGTGGTTGAATGCCCTTGAGTTCAATCCCTGGTACCCGCCCCCCCAAAAAAAATAGCAAAGCCCCTCTTCTTTCTGCTGACTCACTCAGTCATGAGCAGTCACTTCCATTTTTGCATAGATGATGTTCTTCTGCATCTTCTTTACTGCCACAAAGTTCTTTTTCACAGTTAAGTGGGCCCCTATTCTTTGAGAATCTTTTCTTTAGACAGCTCTCTTTGGTTCCACAACTCTTCCATCCACCTTGTGTGGCCTAGCACACATGGCTACATCCACTTCCTCTGCAGTGGCTTAAGTGATAAGCCCCTGGAGTATTTTGTGTTTGGGTCTCTTGTTACCACATAGTCCATGAGTGTTCCCCATGGCTCAAAATGGCTTCTTAGATTCTCATTAATTATTTCAAAGCTCAGCCATCTGATGAAGAGCCTCTGCAGCTGTTTGGGCTCTTCAGGAGACATGACAGCACTGGGAAGAGAGACTTTAATGATGCTTTGTCCATAGGCAGAAAAATCTTTCTTTTTTTCTTCATGGTCCTGGGGATAGAACGCAGGGTCTCATACATGCTAGACAAGTGCTCTATCACTGAACTACATTCCCAGCTAGGGTTTTTCTTTTTTTAATATTTATTTTTTAGTTATAGGTGGACACAATATCTTTATTAGTTATAGGTGGACACAATATCTTTATTTTATATTTTTGTGGTGCTGAGGATCGAACCTAGTACCTCACGCATGTCAGGTGAGCGCTCTACCTCTGAGCCACAACCCCAGCCCCAGTTTTTCTTTTCTTTTTTTTTTTTAGAGTAACAAGGCATGAGTTTTATTAAAGAGATAGGAAAAGGGAAAGGGGACACTTGTAAGGGAGAGAGTGGGTCCTCTCAAAGAGGAGATGGATAATGTGCCTTTCCTGCACCCCAGTTTTATTGGGGATCCCATAGAGGTTTTCAGAGAGTTCCACCCAGGTCCACCTCTTGACTTTTAACCGACAATAGGATGATGATCCTGGTGATGAGAATCAGGGCCAAGTTACATTTCTCCGGAATGTTGAAGACTGAACACCCAAGAAATGCCTAGGCAATTATTTAAAGGATAGAACAGAGATAGACTTCTCCGCAGAGTAGGGGCCCCAGAGCTGGGTGTCCGAGGAAGTGGGGGTGTCCTGCCCCTTTTATAATTTTAGATTTCCTTTATTCTCATTCTCTCTCCTCCCCCATCCTGACTACAAGACTAGTGACCAAAAGGTAGTTTTCCTTTTTTTAATGAGGATTAAACTCACATAAATTTCAGAAAATTCATGTGAACACTGAGAACAATGCCTGGTACATCAAAAACTCTAATGGCTAGATACTACTCCTACTATTATTATTAATAGTAGGTGTATTATAAATGATATTCTTTTAAATGGCCTTAACTGGTGAAATGAAAATTTGCTGACACTATATCAGAACTCAGTTTTATTTTATTTATTTATATTTTTTGGTACCAGGGATTGAACCTAAGATTGCTTTACCACTGAGCCACATCCCTAGCCCTTTTTGTGTTTTAGAAAAGGGTCTTGCTAAGTTGCTTAGGGCCTTGCTAAGTTGCTGAGATTGGCTTTGAACCTGCGATCCTCCTGCCTCAGCCTCCCAAGGCACTGGGATTACAGAGTGTGCCACCATGCTCGGCTCCTGATTTTATTTTATTAGCCCATGAAATTCCCAAGTCTCAGAATGCCTGCCCTGAATCATGCTATGTATATGGAGAGGTTGCTCACCATGAGGCAATTGATCTCAATCCTGGCAAAGGAAGAAAAACGCTATAAATATCCTCATTACCCAGAAGAAATACTGAACTCTCGACCTGGAAGACACCACCATATACATTGAGGTTCTGCACACAAATGGTGTTGCTGAGATGTTGTGGTGAGGAAGGTGAGTGTGAGGGACAGTGTATCTCAGTAGGAAGAACACAGACTCTGAACACAGAAGGGATTCAAATCCCAGCAGGTCCTTCCACCTCTCTGAGCCTCGTATGTACAATGGGGATCTTATTTCTTTTCTTTTCTTTTTTTTTAGATGTTGACAGACCTTTATTTTATTCATTTATTTATATGTGGTGCTGAGATTCTAACCCAGTGCCTCACACATGCTAGGCAAACGCTCTGCCTCCGAGCCACAACCCCCAGCCCCGGGGATCTTATTTCATGGGATTAAAAAGAGGATGAAATGAGGTAATTCATACAGAGAACTCTGAACAAGGACAGGCATATTGTGAGTGCTCAATAACATTACTTACCTCAATCATGATGAGGAAGAGACTAACCATAACAGAATAAAAAAGCAGAGGAGCCAGAAAGAGCATGCCACTGCCCTGAAGCTGGGAGCTTGTATTCTGAGCTCTCATTCATTAGGGAAAATGCCCAGTAGCCAAGCTAGAAGGAATCCTGTAGATACTCTCACCAGTGAGCACACTCGCTCCAGGGCTACAAATACTATTAATGAAAATAACTGGCCTCAGTCCTATCCACTAGTTTTGATGCCCATGTAGATCCTGTCAGACCAAATGTTATGAAACTTATAGTGCCACAGTGTGCCTGAAACCACAGCCTGAATCACCAAGCCCCACAGTAGTACATTCCAAAATGGCAGAACTCTTACTTCCTTTATGCCAAGCTTTGGTGAGCAGCAAGGTATTAGAAGCCCTGGGCCACTGATGAGTGGCACATGGTGAGGGCCTGGCATGGAGGCAGGGAGAGTG